GGATTCTGCGCTCCTCCTGGGCGGCGCCGGGTGTCATCCATCTTCTTGCAAATTAACCAGTTTCTCACGTTTCTCTGCAGAATCTCCTTCTCAAAGCGCCCGATCCTCCAGGTGGGAAAGGAGGAAAAATAAAAATTAAAAAAATCTTAAAAATGCCGTGATGTGACAGTCCCCAACCTGGTCTCCCAGCCGCGGCGCTGCGAGATGAGGCGGTTCCGTCCCGACTGGATTTTCCATCTTTCTCTCCTTTTATTTGTTGGTGTGTTTATTTATAGCCACTGCCCTATTTTCCTCCCCAGGGCCACGGCGGTGATCTCTGAAAATAACATCTGGACCTTTCTTTTTTTCTTTTCTTTTTCTTTTTTTTCCTCCTTTTTTTTTTGGTGAATTTTTCTTCTCAAGGTTTAATGCACCTGGAGAGAACTAGAAGGTTCCGAGGCCACCTGCCTCCCATCCGGGTCAGTTTGCATGCAAAGAATTTCCCTTGCACAACGTCCTTCTCCCGGAGGTTACGCTTCACCATGAGCTGGAATCTCCAAAATCATGCCCCGACGTGGAACCTTTCGTCTCTCTAGGTGGACCGTCCCGGGTGCTTTGTCACAGTAACGGAAACCTGACGAGTGCATCCGTCCCCCTTTGAGAGAGAGAATCAGGCGCAGGGCTTACCTGAGGTCACTCAGGAGTGACGTCCCTGGGTGATGTGTCCCTCTGGAAGCAGGTGGGACTGTCCTCTTCTCTCTCTCACACACACACAGAGCAGGACATTCACTGGGGGCTGTGACAGGGACGAATGGTTCTCTGCAAAATTCTCAGCGCCTGCAGGGGTGGTGGGTCACGGCTTGCCACGTGTCCCCTGGGCCCTGAAGGACGTACTGAGATCTGGACCCTGGTCCCCTGTGCATGTTCTATGAGGGACCGCAGCCCGTGCACATGGTCTGGGGCCCCGAGGTCAGCCCGCTGCTTCGCTCCAGCAGGTTGGTCCTCTCTGCAGAATGCTGACCCGTGTCCCCTGCGTCCACCCCCGGGGACCAGAAATCCGTATCTGGGTACCAAGGTGGTGCTCCTGCCTCCCATGGTTTTATATATATTTATATAAAATAAGCCACATCGTCACCCACTTTCAAGTTTTTTATTTTGAGACAGGAGCTCAGTACGTGGCCGAGGCTGGCCTCCGACTGGCCATCCTCCTGCCTCAGCCTCCCAAGAGTCGGGGAGGATCAGCGGGCACCGTGGCGGCTGCAGATGCGGAAGATGTTAGCGGAAGCCGAGTTTCTGGGGCGCTCGGAGATGGACGAGCAAGAATCGAGTCGCGTGCACCGAAAATGTGTTTCCCATTTTATCTCCTCCCTGGGAGACACCGGGGGTAGCCTCCGCGATGTAGATTCCGTCCGGAAAGAAAAACTGAAAAAGGGGCCAGAAGCCAGCTCATTGATGGACTGACTATAAATAACTCATAAGAATCG